TGGCGGTTTCTGTTGGCACCTGTTGGAAGCCATCATGATTTGCCCTGATATTGATGCTATATTAATAGTGAACTTTGACTTTTCTCATCTGTAAACCAAAAGACTTCATGGGTGGCCAGAATGATATTACATAGGACAAACACTCCTTTGAAGTGAGAGTCTGTGTCACTGGCCATATTTTCAGAGTCACTTGATTCTACAGAGTGAGTCTCAGTCAAAGCAAAACCAGAGAAGTTAAGAACTCAGTCTCTATAACAAAATGATATAGATTTGAATCCCAACTCTACCACCCTGTGGAAGTCAAGACAATAATGTTAAGCAAAATAAGCCAGGCTCAGAAAGTTAAACACCACATGTTTTCTGTTATATGAGAATTCTAAAAATATAAATGTTAGATAGATAGATAGATGATAGATAGATAGATAGGTAGATAGGAGATGGGGAGGGGAATGAGGGAGCACTGAGATTGAAAAATGATCAAGATAAGCCAAATGAATGTACCAACTTCCCAACCTCACCATTTCTTAAAATAAAACAGTGGTAACTTATTTCCGCCTGTACCTGTTTCTTTGATAACCTGTAGCTCACTCTACAGGTTGTCATGAATTTTAAATGTGTTCAAACTCACACTGTTTGCTACCACATGTAGCACCAGGAAGATCTCAGAAAGTATTGGCTGTTGTTATTTATAATTAATATAATCAGTATGATTGCTTTCTACCTGAATCTTTCTTTTCCTCTAAAATTGAAAAGATCATAGTTTGGAGAATGTTTTGGTTACTGAGCAGCATCATTCCATAAAAGATGTCATTTCAAATTTTCTAATCTTCACATAAAAAAGTAAGAAGAAGAGGTAAAGTGAATCTCAGTGATATATTTTATTTAATACAATATGGAATATTATCAACCTATTTTACACTCATTTTACTTTCTAAATCATCAAAGCCTGGTATGTCCTTTACCCTTGGACCTCATACAGTTTAAGTGCAGAGTCACCACACACAGATGGTGTCTACTGCATTGGACAGTGCCCTTGGACCACACACACCCATGGTACAGCAAGCTTCTAGAAGGAGGACTGCTAAGGTAGGCAGAGTTGGGGAGAAAAGTCCTGGCTGAGTGGAGGACTCAGGTCTTATTGTCAACTCTGCTACAGCCCCCGAGAAGTATCTCAAGCACCTGGCACAGCCATGTGCAAAGTGACTTTCAGGCAGCTTTGGTCACTGACCCCTTGATGACAGTGATAACGGGGCCCTGGCCATCCTGTGTGCAGTCACTGTGCTGCAGGGAGCTCTCTGTGGGTGTTCTGTCCTGAGTTTTGGAAGTGTCTTGCCCAAAGGCCATGTCCAGTAAATATTCTCAAATTGACTTCAGAAATTCAGAAAAATTTATTGGACACTGAATTCACAGGAATTGCCAACATGTACCCTTGATATATTCCTGTTGCTACTTAATTTCTTCATCTAGAACAAAGCGAGGGTTTGGCAGCTTATCTGCTGAACTGCACATCTTAGTTTGTGTGTTATTTCCAATTCTGAGCTATTTATGCTGCTTGTGCTGATTTTCAAACTACTAGATGACTTAGAAGTATTTACCAAATAATTCAGCATTTGTGGATATTATTCAATTTATTCTTGTCCCTGTTTAGTCTTTGTCATGTAAGCATATGGTCAGCTGCCCGACAAACTCCACAGGCTTGTTTTGATTATGAAATGAGATTCTGTGTTTTAAAGTAATCTGTTCTATGAAGGCAAGATGCTATCATTGCTGGTACCCAAGGAGCTAGAACTTCCCTAGGACATATGATAACTCTAAGGCTTCCACTGGAAGTGGGCTTCCTTAGAAACTTATTTTTAGTGTTTCTCAGAGATGCCAGCCACTCTCTCCCTTTAGCATGCTGCTCCACAAAGCCACATGCCTAGGAACTGAGGTATGTTCAATAAGTTAGAAGAGAAAATTAGGGATTTTGCCTTCCCGTCAATCTAAGAAAAATTTAATTCTACGCTTTGTGGGCATAAAAATACAAGCCCACTGTCTGCCTAACACTGGGACAAGTTATAGCTAATTGAGTGTTATGTAATCTAATCCAATGTTATTTCTATCTCTAATGCTCATAATAGCCTTAGGGCATTAATACCCCTCCTTTATGCATGATAAATAGCCTTGTGTGAGGAGATAAGATTTTTTTAAAAAAAATTTTTCATTAAGTTTATTGGTACATTTTAGATATACAATATGATGACATTCATCATTGAGAATTTGTGCCTTCACATGGTATATCTTAGTTCTTATTTTTCCCCCTTCCCCTGCCCTCCCTTCAACCCTTCCACCCTCTCTATTTACAAAGAATTTGTTTCCATTTTTTCCTTTTCTCATATTTTTTCCTTTTGCTTCGTTCCTTTCCCTTACTCCTCCCACTTCCTCCTACTCTTTAGACCTTTTCTTCCTATTTCACATTACCTATTATACATTTAGTCCTTATTTACACTTTCGGTTTCTCACACCAGAGAAACTATTCGGTACCGAATAGTTTGTAAATAGGGAGGACTGGAGGGGTTGAAGGGAGGGCTGGGCAAGGGTGAAAAATAAGAACCAAGAGAGACTATGTAAAGGTGCAAATTTCCAATGATGAATGTCATTATATTGTATACCTGAAATGTACCAATGATTAGAATGAATAGTCTATAATGCAAAATAGGAAGAAAAGGTCCAAAGGGGTAGGGGTAGTGGGAGGGGCAGGGGAAAGGAAAGAAGGGAAAGGAAAAATGCTGAGAAATGGAAAAAATGGAAATAAAGTCTTTGTAAATAGGGAAGGGAGAGCTAGGAATGGGGAAAAAATAAGAACCAAGATGCATTATGTAAAGGTCCAATTCCCAATGAGAAATGTAATTGTGTTGTATACCTACAATGTACCAATAATTTAATGCCAAAACAAAAAAAAAGAGTATGGACTCCAAAACATACAAAAAAATGTATATGGCCTCAATGCACATCCATTTAGCTATAAATGACTCTAGTTTCTCATTCTTTATGGCTGAGTAGTACTCCATTTTATAAAAGAACCACATCTTTATCTAGTCTTTAGTTGACGGGCAACTGGGCTATTTCCAAGTTTTAGCTATTACAAACTGTGCTGCTATAAACATGGGTGTACATGTATCACTGTGGTATGGCTTTTTTAATTCTTTTGGGAAGATACCCAGCAGAGGAATAGCTGGGTCAAATGGGACCTCTAGTTCTAGCTGTTTGAGGTATCTCCATATTGATTTCCACAATGGTTGGACTAGTCTGCACTCCCACCAACAGTGAAGAAGGGTTCCTTTCTCTTCACAACCCCACCAGCATTTGTATTTGTTGATTTCTTGATAGAAGTCATTCTTTTTGGGGTGAAATGGAATCTCAGTGTTATTTTCATCTGCATCTCTTGAATATTTTTCATGTGTTTATTTGCTGCTTTTACTTCTTTGTCTGAGAAATGTCTTTTGATTTCAGATGCCCATTTGTGAATTGGGTCTTTAAATTTGGGGGGTCTGATTTTTTTGAGTTCTTTATATACTCTAGACAGTAGACCTTTGTATGAGGAACAGCTGGTAAAATTTTTTTCCCACCTTGTAGGTTGTCTGTTAGTTCTGTTGGTGGTTTCTCTTGCAGTGCAGAAGTTTTTAATAAGATGAGATCCCAGTTGTTGATTCTTTGTGCTAGTTCCCGTGCTACTGAGGTTTTGTTCATAAAGTCTTTTCCTATGCCAATGTCATTGAGAGTTCTACCTAACTTATCTTCCAGCAACTTTACTGTTTCTGTTTTAATATTTAGATCTTTAATCCATTTTGATTTTAGTGTAGTTCTTGGTGAAAGATAGGGGTCTAGTTTTAATCTTTGGCAAGTTGAAATCCAGTTTTTCCAACACCATTTATTAAAGAGGCTATCTTTCCTCCAATGAGGGTGGTTGGCTCCTTTGTCAAAGATGAGGTAGCTGAGTATGTCTGGAGTTGTTTCTGCATCTTCTAATCTATTCCACTGATCCTCAGGTGTGTTTCTTTGCCAGTACCATGCTGCTTTCATCACAGTGGCTTTGTAGTATAGTTTCAAGTTGGGGATTGTGATACCCCCTGTCATGTCTCTGTTGTCTAGAATTGCTTTTGCTATTCTAGTTCTCGTCTGGTTCCAAATGAATTTTTGGATTGTTTTCTCTAGTTCTGTGAAATATACTTTTGAGATTTCAATTGGGATTGCACTGAATCTGTATAGCAGTTTTGGAAATATGGCCATTTTCACTATATTGGTTCTTTCTACCCAGGAACAAGGGATGTCTTTCCATTTTCTTCTATCCTCTTCAATCACTTTTTTCAGAATGCCATAGTTCTCAATGTAGAGGTCTTTTAATTCCTTCATTAGATGTATTCCTAGATATTTCATTTTTTGGATGCTATTGTGCAAAGGATTGCTTCCCTAATTTCTCTCCCAGTGAGTGTGTTATTTGTATACAAGAAGGCTATTGATTTTTGAGTGTTTACCTTATATCCAGCTACTCTACTGAATCTGTCAATTAAGTCTAGAAGTCTTTTGGAGGATTTTTTTGGGTCTTCTATGTAGAGTATCATATTGTCAGTAAATAATGACAGTTAACTTCTTCCTTTCCTATCTTTATTGCTTTTATTTCTTTCTCTTGTGTAATGGCTGTGGCTAATGTTTCCAGACCTACATTGAATAGGAATAGGGATAGTGGATATCCTTGTCTTGTTCCTGATTTTAGAGTGAGGGTTTTCAGTTTTTGATCATTTAGTATGATGTTGGCTGTTGGTTTTTCATAGATAGCCTTTATCAAGTTGCAAATCACCTGAGTGAGGAATGGCCAAAACCTTACAGGAACAAAGGTCTGGATTACTCCAAAGCTCCCTTTTCTTAGTTATGCAAAAGCCTCTGGAAGTTTAACTTTCAGCATCTGTAAAATGAGTTGAATAATATCTTGCTTGCCTATCTAATAGGAATGCAGTACTTACCAAGACAAAGAAAGGCTGAGTGTGGTGGAATACATCTATAATTCCAGTGCTGGGAAGGCTGAGACAGGAGGATTGTCCTGAGTTTGAGACAGCTTGGGTCACATAGGAAGTTTGAGGCCTTGTCTCAAAAAAAAGGAAAGAAAGAAAGATTTCTTAGGACTAAAATGACATGCATAGTGGCAGCATTATGAGCAGCAATAATGATTATCTAATGCTTCACTGTTTCATAATGCATCCATAAAAACCCTCTGAAGACAAGATGATGCTTGGTAGTAGAAAAATGTCCCAGTGGTTAAAGCCATTAGTATTCTTATATGCATTAATGTGGGGAAAGAAAATCCCCTCCTAGACCTTCCTGGAAAGCAATATAATGTGAAGGTGGAGAGCATAAGCTCTAGAAGTAGACCCTACCCTTATTTATTGTGTGAGCTCAGGCACAATACCTGATCTCTTTCTCCATCATTGGTGGAGAAATACAGCCTCTACTTCATGGCTTTATTTGAGGTTAAATGAGATAATGCATATAGAGCATATAGCAAGTGCTCAATAGATGTTAGCAATAATCACAAGGATGTGAAATAAGACTACTGGATTTTTCTGTATGTGAGACTTCTCCAGTCATCTCAGTTTCCTCCTTCACTGCTCTCATCCCAAACTCCAACCACAATGTACAGAGCTTGTCTCTATCCCTTCTCATTTGGGCAATAATAGCAGGCCAATAGATCATTTTCAAAAGCTACAACTTCACATTTACATATGAGTTTGCTGTTTTCATATGCTAACCAGATTGAATTGTTCACTCCCCAACATCTATTAAAAAGTGATATATTCTTTTGTATTATTTTTCTGGACAGCCAATATGCATGTTTTCCTGTCCAACCATCAATCACTTGGTCATAGAACTGATAAGATTCCCAACTGAGTGGTTGGACAATGATTTACTCTGCACCAGTGTATTCAGCTCAGTCTCTAATATATCTATTGAGGATACTGTCTACTAATCTAGAAAGGGATCTTGGCTCAGTGACTAAGGAATTATTGTCTATGATGGACTGAAAAACTGAAAGAATAAGATTAGTGAGGGGGAACAGAGATAGGAATTCCAAAAAGTATAACAAAATTTGTGGAGAAAATATCCAGCAGGTCTTCAATGTTGACTCCCATGAAATATGAGATTCATATCCTGATTGAAATCAGAGCTTTTGTCCTTATAATCAGCACTGATTTCTTTCTCCAGAGAAAATATGGACACACAAAAAAGAAATTGTTCTAGAAATTATATCTAGAAATTGTTGTATAAGAAGTGTCAAAGCTCCAGTAAAATCTTTGTGAGGCAGAGAAATTCAACTGGCCCAGTACTGTTGGAGGAAGAATTAGAGGAAGACAATTCTCTGCACAAGAAAATGGGGGAAATTTGTGAGTAGTGGTAGAGAAAGTATTCCTAAAAGAGAATAGGAAAAGAAAGAGGAAAAAACATGGAAAGAAATACAAAGTAACCAGGGGACTTTCAACACAAGTGCCAGTCACTATTACAATACAACCCCCTTCCTAGTGCCCAAACCTTCAATAAGGTCTGACATAAATAAGCAATTTTGCGGCAATTTTTTCTTTTGAGAGGATAAAACCATAGAAAGAGGTTATGTTCTGTAATGGAGACAATGTCAGACAGAGACTAACAGTCATGAAATTACAGAGAACAAGACGCAATGAAGACTGGAAATTAGAGTCAAAATGAATGTAATGACATAGGAATATTTGTAAACATCATGGTGTAGGTGTTGGATTGTATTAGTCACCTTTTTATTACTACAATAAAATGCCAGAGACAGCAAACTTATAAAGAGAAAAGGTTTAGTTGCTCAAGTTCTGGCAGTTCACGGCCATGGTACCTACACCAGCTTAGTTATGACAAGGGCCTCCTTGCTGTGGTCACATTGTGGCAGAAGTACACGTGTGTGGAAAAGCTTCCATCACCAAATAGGGGCAGAGACGAAAAGACTGGGTCCCACAATTCCTTTCAAGTGTACATCCTCAGTGACCTAAGGATCTCCCAACAGATCTCTCTCCCTCAAATGTCTACCACCTCCCAAGAGCACCACCCTGTGGAACAAACTTTCAATCATAATAGACCTTTTGAGGTACATAATTAAATTATATTCAAACCACAGTATAGCCTCTAAATTTGGAATGGAGATTACCTTAAGGACAGCATATAAACAAATATCTAATTTGCAAAACCTCAAGTGGAAACAACCTACTCATTCAAAATTTCACTGAAGCTTTAACACTTTTAATATAAAGATTATTAGATAATGTTCATCCATGTCTCTCCTTCCTACTAAATCAGGCTTGCTTTTCCAAACAGGGAAGACAACCTAAGGAGTAATGGGAACATGGTAATAATCAGAGAAAGTGTTCAAATACAGTATCAAATGATTACAGCACAGTTGATTTTGCCATAATCTTACTTAATCATAAGTAAAACCAAGATGCAAATAAGAATAAAGAAGTATCATCAAACTTCCTCTGAAGAAAAGGGAGTCAAGGGATTTTTAAAGCAACCAGAGAAACTCACAAAGCTGCCATCAAAAGTGATGAATGATTTGAGTTGGATGTGTGTTCCTCAGGGAGAAAGGTCAAAAGCATAGTTTTTGTTAAAGCCTGTCCCAGACTGACTTTGACAGTTGCTGGCAAAGCTCTGCTGTCAGCTAGAGTTAACTCACCAGAACCACCTGCTGCTGTGCCTCATTTAGCAATGGGGAATGAGGCAAGCTGGTTGGAAACTCGAACATCAAAGGTGTGAAAAAGCTCCGGTCTTTTACCTCCACTCTTGAGGCATGTTGTGTGGAGATAACAAATACTACAACTTATACTTCCAAGTGATAAAGAAAAAACTTAAGCCCTTGAAAATGGAAAAGTCTGTGCAATTTTAAAGTATTCTCTTAATTAAAAGAGTACTTATAATGACTTAAAAGTTACTTTCCATATGGTAATCTTATTAATAAAGATGACCTGGAAAAGTTATCTTGGGTTTCCTTACACGTTACATGGCTTATACTTTATGGCTGTGAGGTCATAGCTGTGATATATCCCCTTCTGACAACTTGACTACAATGTATGCTGTTATATTTCAGTAGCTTGGGGTGATTTTTCAGCTGGATGAAAATTTCATTCCATTCCATCATCGTTGATTTCATCTGCATTTCCATTTCACTCATAAATGTAAAACATTAGAGTTGGAGATACTGCTTGGAACCAGTTGAGAAGTGGTAAAGATTGATAAGAAGGTCAGAGAAATAAAGAGTGCAGACATTTTAACATACCAACATTAATAATTAAAATGCTTTGCATTTCACTGGCATTAGGTTTTTTACAAAGTACTTTCTCATTTATGGGTGGCTCAACAATCTGGTAGGGGACATCTCAGTTTTAGGGAGAAGTTGAAGTAGCTGCTGGTATTTAAGATCCAAATGGTGACTCATACCCTACTTTCTTTTCCCTCTGTCTGCTGCAATTTCTCCAGTGCCATCCAGAGCTGGTCTCCAGTCCTAATTTACTGAAATGTCCAAAGAGAACAATGATGGAGCATCCTGGCAGCACAGGACATCTTAGTGATTTGAGAAAAATAAGCATTCTAGGGAATACGGCATTTGGAAAATCTGTTTGTCTCTATACCTAAAATGTATAGGTTAAAATAACCTCAAATTATCCTTTTGAACTAGAGAAAAAAACACACAGAGAAATGGTCACTGTGGCTCTATTTGTAGTAGTGAAAAATGGGGCAGCCCAATGGAGGTTGAATTAAATACTGTAAATGATTAAATACATCATGTTGTAGCTATTCAATAAAAGATTGTAAGTCATTAAATGCATGCCTCACATTAATAGTTTTTGAGAGAAGAAAATGTTCATTATATGATATTTCATTTAAAAACTTAGATATTAAACTTCATAAAACTATAATTGAAATTTGAGATATAAAATTAACATATAACAAAAATATTTTTAATTATCAAAATCTTTACAATGAACACCTAAGATGATATAAAATGTTAAAGGGATAATTTTGCCTACTATTTGGTGAATTTTAAAATGTACATCAGATCTGAGGATTCTAGTTTTAGAAAAATTACAATATAACTTGGGTTTTTATTTTAATCAATTGTCAGAAAGTCACCTTCAGATGAGACAGACTAATGAACAAGGCAAATATCTGTGCTACAATAATGAACTGAAGCCCTTGCCATTAGCTTCTTTTCTAGTAACATCAAATAACAAATACTTGGACCTTTCTAAGATAGCAGAGATGTTTAGTTTATATTTCCTCCTTGGGACACGGGGAATTAAACTTTGTTAAAGAAGATACAAATTTTAGAATGTTTTCTATAAATAAAAAATTTAGCTTCAGAAAAGACCGAAAAGAAAATCTATCTGAGAAAAATACCTTCTTCCTTGGCCCAACAATTAACTGAAAAATGTATCTCTCTTGAGACATTCTGTGGGTAAAATATTTCTTAGCTCCAAGATCTGAGAGTAAAACTAAGACTGGCAATTGTTACTTAACTGGAGGGTAACAACTGTATGCAGTATCTCCCTCATCTTAAGTCTAGCTATCCTTCTGTCCTCCCTTAAAGCTACTGGGAACCCAACTATTCCCAGTGATCATTTTAGACAAAGGGCTTATGCAGCCTGAACCAGTCTTTGTATAATTGTGAATGTAGACTCTTTTATGGTATAGCTTAGAAAAGGACAAGGTAAAAAATAGGTCCAGAGGCAGGAGGTTAGGGCATGTCAAGAAAGCTGACAATAGGGTGTGATCTGTCAATCACAGAGGAGGCTGGACTATAAGGTGTGGCCTACCAATCACAAAAGCTGTCAAATCACTGTGCACAACAGTTTTCTACATATAAAATCTGCTGTCAGAAGGATATAAAAGACAGTGGCTGGGCTGGGGATTTAGCTCAGTGGCTCCGGCGCCTGCCTCGCAAGCTCAAGGTCCCGAGTTTGATCCCCGATACCAAAAAAAAAAAAAAAACGATAGTGGCTGTTGGACCTTGTCTTCTTACAGTTCAAGTGACCGGCTCTTTGTGCAGAGCATATTTTCTCCCTTCACATGG